GGCGCAGCAGGGATGGAAGGAGGAAGCTACCAATAAAGGTAAACCTAGATTAGAATTTTCCTCCATAATGATCCTGTGCCAAATTGAAGCCCATCACAAACCATCAAATCAACATTTGTCCTGTTACTACCTTTACAGAGTAAATTGTGAACAGATATCGAAGCAGTCAAAATGAACCTGACTGAGTTAAATAAATGTGTTTCTGGAGCTAATAAAGAGACCGACCAAAACCATGAGACAGTGGGATTCAGTGACTGAGGGAGATGGTGGGGTAGAAGGCTACGGTGTTGGTGAGGGAGATGGTGGGGTAGAAGGCTACGGTGTTGGTGAGGGAGATGGTGGGATGGACCAAATGGTCTTTTGCTGAAGACTGTTGCAGTAAATAAGTTGTTGCTGCTACTTACATTGGAGAGTGACTGGAGTTACCAATTCCTCCTCCATATCATCTAGATCATCAGTGAGGATGAAGTGTGTGGGAGTGGACCTTGCCTGTCCAAGCCAGCTTGGATCCACATTCAGCACGGAGTGCAGGGCACTGATCCCGGGGTTATTGACAATTTGAAATTTGCACAGCATCTCGATCTGCTGCCATCGATGGAGCCGCTCACGTAAGGCTGCTGTAACCTCACTCAGAGATTGCCTAAAATGAGAGACAGCAGCTTGGTGTATAGCTAATACACATCCACATACTCCCAGTGACACTGGGCAAGTGAGAACAGTACCCCCACCCTGCCCACATATACACAAGCACACAGAGTCTTCAAGCTGACAATCACCAGCAGGTATATCCATATATCCCAGAGATCTCCAGATATATCAACCCTCCCAAAGAGAAACTCTCAGAAAGAGTGACATTGCTGGAGATCCACACCCTACTCCTCACCCTGTGAACATGCCTCTCCTGGATTGCATACCCCAGAGACAGAATCATCACACGGCTGCATATGTAGTCATACCTTTGGTTTCACTCTACTCCAGGGAAAAGAAATCTACTTCCAGTACTGACATGTTACCAGGGCTTCCCCAGCCAACATCCAACATGGATAATAAAAGGATCACCTCAGAAACACAACAGCATGCTGCTGAATAATAGAAACTTCTCACATCTGATGCTGTCAAATCCCAGCTTAGAGCGGCCAAGCTCCATCAGTGATGAACAGAACTGGGCATTAAGCTGAACAGCAAGTCATTAACCACTAATCTGGCCAGGGCTGCTATAGACTCCCCTTGCGTTGTACCACCCAATGCCAGCCATCATGCTTACATCACTAATACTCTAGAGACCGAGTCAGATTTGAATCATGGTGTTAGGTCACTCTCTCCGTATTCTTGCTGACTTGTGGTCACTGTGTACGGTCGCTTACAGTCCAGATTGTGTCCACTGATTACTTTATGAAACTGTTCAATTAAATGGGTAATACTCTTGGAATACTGTTACCACCAACGTGATCGCCCTCCACCTCCACTCTCTCCACTGCTCCATACTCACTTTGCGGATAGTATTTTATGATCAACATCATCCAGTGAGGAGCTGTGTGCCACATGAAAGGTTCCAAACAACGTGTTTCTCTTCTTCTTTATTTTTTCTGCCTGTGGGGAGAGAGAAGGGGGTTGAGGATGGGAAAGGCAAAGAGGTGTGGGTAACTCTTGGATCATAACCACACTCAGAAGAGCAGCTTGAGAAGCTCAGCTGTTAACTTGCAGGGTGGGGGAGGTCCGTGCCTGGTACAATGGACTGGGGGCACTAAAGGACCTAATTTCACTGGCCTGTATGAGGGGAAACGGGAGGACGGGAGATCAGATCATCATTAATCAGGCTTGAGACTGAGCAATCAAAAGGCAGAAGCAGACAGAACCGGCAGTACAGCTGTGTGGGATTTGGTTGCAGTGAGATTAAAAAGGAGCAGTGGCGGGGGGGCGGGGTGCAATATGCTCTCAGAATCAGACAGAAATCCACCAAAGCTCCTCCAACAGCATCTTCCAAACCACAACCACTTCCACAAAGGACAAGGGCAGCAGATATATTGGAATACCATCCCTGCAAGTTCCCCTCCAAGCCACTCACCATCCTGACTTGGAAACATATCGCCGTTCCTTCAGCGTCACTGAGTCAGAACCCAGGAGCTCTCTCCCTAACAGCCTCTGGGTGATCATAAACGACACGACTGCAGCAGTTCAAGACAAGGAAATACATGCAAAACAATAATACACTTTTGCAATAGGCGCTAAACTAACTCAAATAAAAAATAAAAGCCTCACCCTAAAAGCTAAGCCATTCTCTTGTAGTTAATATTTAACAAATGCAACCTTTTCTCCTCTAATCTTCAGATTAAAATAAAAACCATTCATGGGATATGGGTGTTGCTGGATAGGCCAGTATTTATTCCTTGTTCTTAATGGCACTAGATCCTCCGTAAGCCATAGTTTTAACCAATTTGAGAGCACTGTAAAGTCAAGTCAACAAATAAGCTCATCACTGTTTATTTTGAATGTTGCTTGGCCCATTTTCAGGCTCTTCCCCAGCATTTGATTTAAACATTTCAGTCCTGTGACTTGGATTGTAACTTCAACTGGATTTTAAAATCGCTTCACTGTTGAATTAAAGAAGCTTCTACAAAGCTAAAACAAGTTTGGTTCCACTAATTAACAGCCAAGATCTAGTCGCGTGTTCAAATCCCTCTGTTATCACAGACCCTTCCCATAGTGAGGAAAGTTATTAGCTCTGACAAGTGGAATCTTTATGGGTAGACCTGAGAAAAACCAAGGGGCAAAGAACAGTGGGGGTTGTAAACTGACCCACAAACTGCAGTGGTAATGTTGGGAATAGCATATTTTAGGCAAATTGAACGAGTAACAAAAACAGAAGTTGCTGGAAATGCTCAGCAGGTTTAGCAGCATCTGTGAAGAAAAAGTCAGACTTAATGTTTCGGGTCCGGCGACCCTCCCTCAGAACCAGGCTTGAAACGTTAACTCTGATTTTTTCTTCAAAGATGCTGCCAGACCTGCTGAGCGTTTTCAGCAACTTTTGTTTTTGTTGCTGATTTACAGCATCCGCAGTTCTTTTGGTTTTTATTTTGAATTAGTAACAATACTACAGAGGAGGAATTCCTGGGGTGTGTATGGGATGGTTTTGTGGATCATCACACCGATGACAGGCCATGCTAGACTGTGGACTGTGCAATGAGAAAGGAATAATTTGACTGTGCAAGGCCCCTTGGCAATGAGTGACCAGAATAAGACAGAATTCCTCATTGAGATGGCGAGTGAGATGGAGAGTGGGGTAGTTGACTCTGAGACTAGGGTCCTGAATCTAAACAGAGGAAACTATGATGGTGTAAGACACCCGTTGGCTATGATAGGGGGTGATGCTCCTTAAAGGGATGAGCAAGGACAGAAACTACCCCGGTCCAACACCGGCACTTCCACATAAAGGGATGAGGACATTGGTGAGGTCACTTTTAAAATATTGCATTTAATTCTGGTCTTCCTGCCATAAGAAAAATGTTGTGAAACTTGAAAGGGTTCAGAAGAGATTTACAAGGATATTGCAGGAGTTGGAGGGTTTGAGCTATAGGGAGAGGCTAAATAGGCTGGAGCTATTTTCCCTGGCGTGTCGGAGGCGTTTATAAAATCATGAGGGGCATGTATTGAGTGAATAACCAATGTCTTTTTCCCAGTGTAGGGGAGTCTAAAACTACAGAATATAGGTTTAAGGTGAGGGGGAAAGATTTAAAAAAGGGACCTAAGGGACAACTTTTTCACACAGAGGGTGGTGCGTGTATGGAATGAGCTGCCAGAGGAAGAGGTGGAGGCTGGTACAATTACAACATTTAAACAGCATCTGGATGGGTACATGAATAGGAAGAGTTTAGAGGGATATGGGCCAAATGGGACTAGATTAATTTAGGATATCTGGTTGGTATGGACAAGATGGACCAAACGGTCTGTTTCCGCACTGCATATATCTATGACTCTATGACGGTGGGAAGGCAATGGCAAAAAGCATATGGGTGAACTACAACAGTTGTTCATTTCTGTCTGGCATACAAGTAAAACAGAAAAGGTTGCCAAGCTATGGCTCACAAGGGAAATGAGAGACAGGATTAGATGCAAGGAAGAGGCATTCAAATTGGCTAGAAAAACAACAGACCTGCGAAGTGGGAGCAGCTTAGACTTCAGCAGAGGAGGACAAAGAATCAATTAAGAAAGGAAAACCGAAAAGAGAGCAGAAACAAACATTGACTGTAAGGCTCCTGAAGAGAAAAAGATCAGTGAAGCCAAATGCAAATGCAATGTTAGCATTCATGTCAAGAGGACTAGAACACAACAGCAGAGATGTATGGCTGAAACTGTCAGTCCCATCATCTCCAACTTTAATCACTTCACCAATGGCAGCGTGATTGGAGCCCTCAAGTTCTGGAAATCGATCCTAAAACCTCTCCCTCCTCTCTTACATTAAGGTGGCTTTGCTATCCACCCCTTGGCCTTGGATCAAGCTTTCTATATCATCTATCATGACGTTCATGAGTGGCACGGTATCAAACTGCTGTCATGATTTGCTATGTTAAAGGGGCAATGGAAACCCAGTTTGTTGGTGTAATGGTCTACAGCTGCAAAGAACACCAGAATCAAACAGTACAGATCACCATTTGGCCCATTATGCTTGTGCTGACTCTTTGAAAGAGTTATTCAATTAGTCCCACTCTCTTTGCTCCTGCCCCATATCCCAAAAGATAGCCTTTCAAATAGTTAAGATTCCTTCCAAATATGATTGCTAACCTGTGCTCCTCTCCATCTCACAGATCATAATGACTCATAGAATCCCTACAGTGTGTAAGCAGGCCATTCAGCCCATCGAGCCTACACCAAACCTTCAAAGAGCTTCCCATTCCCCCTCCACATCCCTGCATTTCCCATCGCTAACCCACCTAGCCTGCACATCCCTGGACACTATGGGCAACTTAGCATGGCCATTCTACCCTAACCTGCACATCTTTGGACCATGGGAGGAAAATGGAGCACCCGGAGGAAACCCATGCAGACACGGGGAGAACGTGCAAACTCCACATCAAACCTGGGTCCCTGGCACTATGAGGCAGCAGTGCTAACCACAGGGCCACCATGCCACCCTCAAACTGCCTGGATTAAACCTGCCTCCTCTCCTCCCAGCTGGTATTGAATTTTCACAAACAGCACTTACCCCCTCTTTAGCAATGTTCAGCTGCCTCTCTGCACTCTGCTTCTTGATATTATAATACTGCACTTCCACCTCATGAGTCAGCTGCAGCCATTTCTGAAGTGTTTCAGGTGGGGACCAGCTCCCACGTGATTCCAATTCCTTTTCTGCTTTCTTCAGGGCCATTCGTACCTGAGAGTGACAGAGACAGAGGGTTTCATTTTACATTATCACATTCTCATTACCCCAGACAGAGCAAGGAAGTCACTGTACACACAGTCCCATACAGTGGGTGTATGGACAAGACACAAAGCTGTCACCTTCTTACACAGAAAGTAGGAACAGGAGTAGGCTATTCAGCCCTTCAAATTTGCTCTGACATTCACTATGATTACAGCCAATCATTGAACTCAGTCCCCTGTCTCTGCTTTCCCCCACTGACCTCAATCGCTTTCTGTGGCAGAGAATTCCAAAGGCTCACCACTCTCTGGGTGAAGACATTTCTCCTCATCTAAGTCCCAAAAAACTTTTCACACCAATTCTATGGCCCCTCACCATAGTTCCCATGTAGCAGCTGAGACTGAACAGCAGGATACATAAATGCAAGGCGCACATCCACAGATACCACACCACCAAGGGGCCAAGTCCAAAGTCTGATCTGAACTATAACCCAATGTCTCAACAGTCCCCATCACTGGTTCCAATCTGACCCATAATACACCCCAGTACTGGCCTGGCCCCGCCCCAATGAGCTTCCAGCATTAGATCCACTGTTGTCCAGTCCACTGACTGTGAGCACACAACGCCCCAACACATCACACTGCACTGGATCCTAATGAAACATACAAATCCCACCTGTTCCAACTCTTCCTCCGCGTATTTTTGCCGACTCAGATCATTCTCCGTGCCTTCTCGCAGTCCCCGTAAGCGCTGTGCTTCCTGCTTTGCTGCATTGATCTCATCCCGAAGCTTCTGCTCGAGATTGACTTTCTCTACCTCGACCGATCGATGCTCCTCCTGGGCCTTCTGCAGCCTGCAGGTCGAAGAGATCAAAATCTCAAAACCAAACCATCCACCAGCACCCATCTGTGTGCAGCAAAAACTTGGCATGAGGGGAACATGAGTCTGCTGGATTTATATTCTGATTTAACTTTGAGCTGGGTAACATGCAAGAGGGAATAAAAAAAGTCCAGAGTGTTTTGTCTGTGAAGTTAGTATTTTGCCTTCATTTTACAGCATGACTTTGCAGGTAACTATGTGATTCAACAGCTGGCAGTGTGGCAGTTGCTTCATTCTAGAAGTCTTTTTCTAAATGGTTCATTCTCAGTATGTGAGCACTGCTGGTATAGCCAGTAGTTATTATCTGTCTCTAGGAACCCTGTAGAGGTGGTGGTCTAGCTTTTCACAGAACCCTAGGTAATATGATACGACCAAGTGGCTTGTTGGGCCACCTCAGAGGGCAGGTAAAAGTCAAGCAGGCTGGTGTGGGCCTGGAGTCACATATACATCCAGACTGGGTAAGGGAGGCAGTTTCCCTGCCCTATAAGGACATTAGTGAACCAGTTTGAGATTCTCTGACCCAAGGCGCTTCAGCAGCTCATTAGCCTGGTCTCCAGAAAGTTGGTGACGTTAATTAATGGTCAGGGACTTCAAGACGACTATCAGGTCACTCAGCCCCATCAGCCTAATCTATCAAATGAAATGTAGAAACACAGAAACCAGAATCAGGAGCATGCTATTCAGCCCGGTGGGATGAAAACATTTTCTTCGTTTGTTCTTGGTGGGAGCAGGAGTGGGGAGCTTTGACACTGGTGAATCAGCATTGACTCCCCATCCTCAGTCACTGTGACGTTCCAACCACAATAGTGTGGGACTGGAGTCACGTATACTGGGGTAAGACTGTCACATTCCCTTCCCTGCAAAACAATCATAAAATGGGTGTGAGTAGCAGCTTTAAGCTTCCAGTTCAACAGGATAACACTTTTAGAGTCCGAGAGGCCTACAGCCCTTTGGCACAACTTGTCCATGCCGTTCGCCCCGTTTTCACATTTAAACTAGTCCCATTTGCCTGTGTTTGCTCCATATCCCTCCTTACCTATCCCATCCATGTACCTGTCTAAATGTTTTTCTTTTACCAGTTGACAAATTATCAGGTATATTCAAATATACTGTGGTGGGATTTGAACTAACAGTAAGTCCAGTATGGTAACCTTCACATCCCATTGGCTCCATAGTATTACCCTGGACTCTCTCCCCTGGCAGAATTACACAACCGCTGTGCAGGAACATGTGGGATATATTCACAGAAGAAACTGGTTACCAGACAACTTCACAGCATTGAAAACAATCAGCTCTCAGTGTGAAACTATCAGACTGTAGTAAAAACTGAAGCAGCTCATCCTGAGCTCATATTCACTGATGTCTCCTTAGCAAAGGAGATCTTCCCCTCTTACGTACTCTGGGCCAATGTGGCTATCCCAGAACAATTCTCCCAAGTGGCTCTGTAACTCTCCATCAAACCCAGTTCCAGCAGCTCAAGAAGACTCTCAAACCATCTTTGCAGGAAACTAGGGGTGGGAAATCCTAAGAATGGATAATAGGAATGATATGGCCAAATACTGGGTACAAAAAGCTGCAATGCAAACGTGCCTGAGCGGCTTTACCCAGAACAGTCACCTCCATTGTCTGCAAGGCCCCTCTCTCCACAGGCTTGGCACTTAAGAAGAGAGTGTCCAAGCGTCTGGCATTCTGAAATGAAGCTAGGCTTGCAGTGTAAACCTCATCAGGGATTCCTCCCACTGGCTACGAAGGGTGGGTTCCACATGTCCTCACCTTTCCTGCAGGTCGTGCAGACTCTGCTCTGCTTTCTGCAGCCCCTCCAGATCTTTCATCATCTTCTTCATGTGCTCCTTGGAATAACGGTTCTGGATGTAAGCAAACCAGCAGCCACCCACACCAATCACTATGGAAACCACCAACATGAAATCCTTGAGGTGGTTGTGACGAGTCACTGAAAATTAAGACAAATGGCAAAGATATCACAGTGGTTATGACACAGGAAGCCATTCAGCCTCTTGTGTCTGCATCAGGTCTCCTAGTGATCATGATGACTTAATCATCCCTCTCATCTCCAGGAACACTGCACATTCTCCCTCTTTCAATAATAATCCACTCTGTCTTGTATTTGGTTCGAACCTGTCTCCCCCCACACTCTCAGACAGTACGTTCCAGACCCTAACCACTCGAGTGAACCTGTCTCCCCCCCACACTCTCCGATAGTACATTCCAGACCTTATCCATTTAGTAGATGAGCATCTTGTGCTCATGTCTGCATTGCTTCTTTTATCAATCCCACTTTAAATATGTTCACCAAATAGGAACAGCTTCTCCTCATCTCCTCTGCCCAGACATTGCAAGATTTTGAAAAGCTCTTTCAAATCTCTCTCAAAAACTCACAACTTCGCCAATCTATATAACTAAGGTCCTCGGCCCTGGATTCATTCTTCTGAAGCTTTTCACCATCCTCTTAAAAAGCCTTCTTATCCTTCCTACGATATGGTACCCAGAACAAGGCTCAAATCAAGATACAGTGGGTGAAGAAATGTAGGCAGTGACATAGGAGAAAGATCAGGAACAGAACCACTGTGGTCTCTGATAGCCGCTGTCAGCATCAATCATAGTTAGGCACAGCACTGCTGGAAGAAAAGTAAAGTTCCTCCACAATGTCCTCATCAAACACTCCCAGCACAGGGTTAGATACAGAGTAAAGCTTCCTCTACATGGCCCACATCAAACACTCCCAGGACAGAGTCAGCACGGAGTTAGATACAGGACAGTGGACAGGGGCTTCAGAGTCCTGGCTGAGCTGGGTGGTTGAGTGGGGGAGCGGTCTGTTTTTGTTAAAATGGTACCATCAGTTTTGTGCTCTGCAGCATCACAGCACTTCATTTGGCCGTCCGCATCTCAGCATTATTGAATAACTTCTTATAATGAAACATCAATGGAGCTAACGTTGTGCTCTGCAGTGAGGGAATGAAGCTGATGCTTTCACACTGACAGTTCCGGAGAGCAGGCAATGATGGAGACGTGTATAAGTGACTTCATCTCACCTTCTCACTGCCCAGCTTCTGCAGGATAGCACACCCCCATCAATGGAAACATTAAACAGCTGAACTGAAAACCAGATTATCACTTCCTATTTTCGAAGCAGCGCTGAGATTAGGCATTGTATTTTTAGCCCACGGGGCTGTTATTTGTAGAAGGTGACGTCTGTCCTTTGATCAGACCTTTCCAACTTGCTTCAAGGATTTATGAAAATGTTCAAACACTACCTCCATGAGAGGAGGGGAAGACAGGCCAGCTATGCTCTCACTCACAATGGCCTGGTCATTGTCAGCTGCAAACCCTCTCTTCTCTGTCTCTCTGATCTTACTGTATTCACCACTCCTGAATGATTACTGTTCAACCCTAAACTACCAATAATCCATACAATTTGTTCTAACGCCTCCCTGCAGCCTCACTATTTTGAAATCAAGACTCACTACCTCACCTCCACTATTCATTACTTTCCTGGGATTTAAGTAGTGCAACTCCTTAACAAGCATCTGCCCTTCCTACAGCAACCACTTACATTTATATAGCACCTTCCACACAGTAAACACGCTGAGCTGCTTCACACCAGTGTTGCAGGGGTCAGTCCTGGTGCCGCAGCTACGTACATTCAATATTAATGATTTCACAAAGAGACCAACAATAAGATATCTAAGTTTGCTGACATTAGAAACTTCAGTCCTAATATAAGGCTTCAAAGTCATAAAGGCAGATTAACTGGGCAGGCAACAAGGTGACAGATGAAGTACTTAGCAATGCAGGTAGACAAGGTAGTAAAAAAGGCCTATGGCATGCTGGCCTTCATTGGAAGGGGCATTGAGTATAAGGATAGAGAAGTTATGCTGCAGCTTTACAGAACTTCAGTTAGGCCGCACTTGGAATATTGCATACAGTTCTGGTCATCATATTACCAGAAGGATGTGGATGCTTTGGAGAGGGTACAGAAAAGGTTTACCAGGATGTTGCCTGGTATGGTGGATTTTAGCTATAAATGAAGGTTGGATAGACTGGGTTTGTTTTTACTGAAACGCAAGAGGTTGAGGGGGCAACGTGATAGAAGTTTATAAGATTGTGAATGCAATGGATAGAGTGGAAAGTATGAGGCTTTTTCCCAGGGTGGAGGGGTCAACTACTAGGGGACACAGGTTCAAGGGCTGGGAGTGGGGGTGGTGGGGCGTTTACAAGACATGTGTGAAGCAGATTTTACACACAAAGGATGGTGAGTGCCTGGAACATGCTGCCAGAGGAGGTGGGGGAAGCAGACAACAGCAGCATTCAGGAAACACCTGGAGAGATACATGAATAGGAAGGGAATAGAGGGATACGGATCCTGTAAATGAAGACAGTTTTAGTATGGAAGGGCAAAATGTGTCAGCACAGACTTGGAGGGCCGAAAGGCCTGTTCCTGTGCTGTACTGTCCTTTGTTCTAAAATCGGAAAGTGAAAGGTTATTCACTTGGATTGTAAGAATACAAAAGCGAACATGTTTTAAAAGGTTTCGATGTGGTCACACGAAGAACACAAACAATTCCCACAAAAGGAAAGCAATTAGGCAGGCAAATAACAAGCTAGCCTTTGTTACAATGGGATGATGTATAGGAATGAAGAAGTTTGGCTATAATTGAACAGCTCTTTGGTGAAGCCACATAATGGAGAAGGACCCCAGAAGGCTCCAGCACAGATAGATTTGGGAGTCCTCATGCATAAGCCATAAAAAGCCAGCAAACATTTAATCAACAGAAACCATGCTTGGTAAATCTACCAGGACTCTGCAAATTTTAGTAGTTAATGAGGGTGAGCCATCGGATCTAGTTTATTTGGACTTTCAGAAGACTTTTGGCAAAGTCCCACAATAGAGATTAATGTGTATAATTAAACGGCATGGGTTTGGGGATGATGCGCTGAGATGAACAGAAAACTGACTGGCAAACAGGAGACAAAGAATAGGAATAAACTGGTCTTTTTCTCAACGACAGGCAGTGACTACTCAGGTACTACTAGGATGCCCAACTATTCACAATTTACGTTAATGATTTGATGGTAAACTGATTTGAGAGTCAGAAGGGGAGTAATGTGCATTAGAATCCCCAACCTCTGACCTGCTCTTGTAGCCACTATGTTTGTATCTCCCGATTTGCAGATGACACAAAGCTGGGTGGGAGGGTGAGCTATGAGGAGCATGCAGAGAGCTTCAGTGAGATTTGGACAGGTTGAATGAGTGCGAAAATGCATGTCAATTGCAGTAAAGTATGGACAAATATGAGGGTATCCACTTCGGGAGCAAATACTGAAGGCAGATTATTAAACTGAATGGCCATAAACTGAGAGAGGGCAAGCTTCAATGAGACCTGGGTGTCCTCATGCACTAGTCGCTGAAGGTAAGCAGCAGGCGGTGAAGAAGGCAAATGGTATATTGACCTTCATAGTGAGAGGATTCAAGTACAGGAGGAGAGATGTCTTACTGCAATTGTACAGGGCCTTGGTGAGACCACAGCTGGAATACTGTGCGCATTTTTGGTCTCCTTATCTGAAGAAAGATGTTCTTGTTGTAGAGGAAATGCAGCAAAGGTTTACCAGACTGATTCCTGGGATGGCAGGACTGACATATGAAGACAGGTTGATTCGGTGAGGATTATATTCACTGGAATTCAGAACAGTGAGGGGGTTCTCATTGAAACCTATGAAATTCTAACAGGATTGTTGGCCATGCCAAATTGCCCCTAGTGTCCAAGGATGTATGGGTTAGGTGGATTAGCCATAGGAAATGCAAGATTACATGGATAGAGTGTAGGTGGGATGCTCTTGGAGGGTCAGTGTGGACTCACTGGGCCAAAAGGCCTGCTCTGCACTGTAGGGATTCTGTGCAAGAAGGATGTCCCAGATAACCAGGGAGTCCAGAACCAGGGATAACAGTTGAAAGCTGTAGGATCAGAGATAGTAGGAACTGCAGATGCTGGAGAATCCGAGACAACAAGGTGCAGGGCTGGATGAACACAGCAGGCCAAGCAGCATCATAGGAGCAGAGAGGCTGACGTTTCGGGCCTAGACCCTTCATCAGAAAAGGGGGAGGGGAAGGGGGTTTTGAAATAAATAGGGAGAGAGTGGGAGGCGGATAGAAGAGGGATAGAGGAGAGGATAGGTGGAGAGGAAACAAACAGGTCGAAGAGGCGGGGATGGGGCCAGGAAAGGTGAGTGTAGGTAGGGAGTTAGGAAGGGGATAGGTCAGTCCAGGGAGGACGGACAGGTCAAGGGGGCGGGATGAGTTGGACTGGTTTTGGGATGCGGTGGGGGGAGGGGAGATTTTGAAACTTGTGAAATCCACATTGATACCATTGGGCTGCAGGGTTCCCAAGCGGAATATGAGTTGCTGTTCCTGCAACCTTCGGGTGGCATCGTTGTGGCACTGCAGGAGGCCCAGGATGGACATGTCGTCTGAGGAATGGGAGGGGGAGTTGAAATGGTTCGCGACTGGGAGGTGCAGTTGTTTGTTGCGAACCGAGCATAAGTGTTCTGCAAAGCGGTCCCCGAGTCTCCGCTTGGTTTCCCCGATGTAGAGGAAGCCACACCGGGTACAGCGGATGCAGTATACCACATTGGCAGATGTGCAGGTGAACATCTGCTTGTTGTTTAAGACTGAATTAAGGAAAAACTTCTTCACCTACAGAATGGTGAACCTGTGGAATTTGCCAAAAAACAGTTTGAATTCATGAATGAGTTTGATATGGCACTTGGGGCTAAAGGGATCAAAGGAGGAGGCAAAAAAAAAGAGTTGGCTAATGAGTTGGATGATCAGCCATGATCATAATGAATGGAGGAAGCAGCGATGAAAGGCAGAATAGTCTACTCCTGCTCCTAGTTTCTATGCAAGCTCAATGGGCATTAGGAAGGCAAATGGATTGTTGGCCTTTATTACAAGGCAATAGAGTATAAAAGGCAGGGGAGGTTTTGCTAAAACATACAAGGCACTTATCAGACCACAGCTAAAATAGGCCCTTTATCTAAGGAATGATATACTAGTATCGGAGCAGGTCCAGAGCAGGTTCACTCGGCTGATATTGGGTACAGAGGAACTGTCTTATGAGGAGATGTTGAGTAGGTTGGATCTGTACTCATTGGAACACAGAAGAATGGGAGGTGACCTTATTGAAACATAAAAGATTCTGAGGGGACTTGGCAAGGTACATGCAGAAAGGATGCTTCCTGTTGTGGGAGTGTGCAGGACCAGAGAATACGATCTCACAGTAAGGAATTGCACACAGATGAGGAGGAATTTCTTCATTCAAAGGGTAGTGAATCTTCTTTTTACTGAGAATGGCAGTAAAAGCTGGGTCATTAAGTACATTCAAGGCTGAGATAGGAGATTTTCAATCAGGAATGGAACTAAGAGTGATAGGAAAAGGTAGGAGAGTGCAGTTGAGAATTATCAGATCAACTATGATCTCAGTGAATGGCGGGGCAGCCACGATGGACTGAATGGCCTATTTCTGCTCCTATGTATTATGGTCTTACTGTGTGCGATTTTGGTCTCCACATTTAAGGAACTTATACTTGTGTAGGAGGTGGCGCAAAGAAATTTGACCAGACTGGTCCCTGGGAAGACAGGGCTGTCCTGTGAGGGAAGGCTCAGGGAAGTGGGTTTATACTTTCATGAGATTCTGAAGACACAGTCTTAATACAAGGAGCTGTTCACTTAGGACTGAGATGACAAGAAAGGTTTTCACTCAAAGACTCAAACTCTCCCATCATTGAACCCATTTAATGCTGGGATAGCTATGATTTTGGTGGTGGGAATCTGCGAGATATGGAGAGCAGGCAGTAAAATGGAGCTGAAGCCTAAGACCAGCCATGATCATATCACAGCAACCTGACATATGAGCAGCAATGTCACTCCTTGTTTACACTCACCCTTCATCCCGTCCCAGTTCTGAGGTGTGATTGGTTTAAAGTTTAACGTTTAACTGGTGTATAGCAACAGGGAAGGAAACAAGAGAGATGACACATTAACTTACGGAGGGGTGGTCCAAACAGTACAGTGTCCAGAGCCTTCAGCTGTAACTTCTGCCGATGACTGCGATCATTCACTTTGAGTAAGGAGCACGCTAGGGTGAGGTTATTCACAGCCAACCTATCAATGCAAAGACAATTAAAATCAGAGACAAGGAGGGGAGCTAGTAAGGGAGATTCTGACTGAAACACAGTATTATTATATCTTTAATTTAAAAGCCATTTTCATTCGATTTTGAATGCTTACCACTAAGAAACTAAGAAATGTTGAAACAAAAATACATTAGTTGTCAAGGTCCAACTATCATTGGCAAGACTGGCATTTATTACCCACAACCGAACCAATGAGGAGGACAAGGGAGAACAGGGGGAAAGAGGCTGAAACTGGAGCCAGGACAAAGCTGATGCAGCTTTCTACACCTATCACAGAATTGTTACGGTGCAGAAGACCATTCAGCCCATCATTTCTGCACCAGTTCTATTACCTAGAGCCAATCTACTGCCTTTTCCCCATATCCCTATACACTTTTTTGATCCAAATAACCATCCTATGCCCCTCTTGAACGCCTCAATTGAACCTGCCTCCACCACATTTTTGGGGGTTTATCACATTCCCTAACTACTCACTGTGTGAAAAGATTGCTTTTCTCACATCAGTCTGTGGGATATGGGCCTTGCTCGGAGAGCTGGTGGTAGTGGGTCACCTTCTTCGCCTGCTGGTACCAATTCTGATGCAATTCAATGGCCATTTCAGAGGTTAAACCCTGTTTGTATGAGACGGGAGTCACATACAGGCCAGGAGCAGGTTCTTTCACAAGATGCGGACATCAGTCACGAAAGTGGTCAGTTGAGAATCTGGTGGTGGAGATGCCTTCGTGATCCCCTGAAAACCATTTGGTGTAGGTGTGTCCACAATGGTGTTAGAGAGTTCCAGGAGTTTAACGCAGCTACAAGCAAGAAAGAGCAATATAGTTCCAGGTCGGGATGTTTTGTGGTTGGAGCAGAACTTGCACAGTGGGATGGTGCTCCCATCCATCTGCTCCAGATATGGGAGAGTTTGTTGGTTTGGAAGGTAGTGTCAAAGGAGTCTTGTTGAGTTGCTGCAGTACATCTTGTAGAAAGTACACACTTCTGCTACAGAGCAGGGGGTGAATGTTGAAAGTGGTGGATATGATGCCAGTAACATGGGCTGCTTTGTCCTGGAACACATTGAGCTTTGAGTGCTGTTGGAGCTGCGCTCATCAAAGCAAGAGGGGAGTATTCCATCACACTCCTGACTTGTGCCTTGTCGGTGGTGAACGCACTTTGGGGAGTCAGAGGTGTAATGTGCCTTAGAAGTCCCAGCCTTTGACCTGCTCTTGTAGCCACTGTGTTTATGTGGTGAGTTCAGTTCAGTTTCTGGTCAATGGTAACCCCCAGGATGTTGATAGTGGGGGATTCAATGAGGGTAACACTGGTCAAGGGCAGTGGGTGGATTGCCTCTTACTGGAATGGACATTACCTGACATTTGTGTGTCACAAGTTGCCACTTGTTCAGGACAAACTTTGATATTGTCCAGGAGTTGCTGCATTTGAACATGAACTGCTTCAGTATCTGAGGAGTTATGAATGGTGCTGAACATTGTGCAATCATTGGCAAACATCCCCACTTCTGACCTTATGATGGAGGGAAGGTCATTGACGAAACAGCTAAAGATGGCTGAGCATAAGACCAGAGGATCACCTTGGTTATTATCCTTCGAAGAGATATTATGAAGCAGCTAGGGCAATCCAATAGCTTTAGCATCACTTTTATCACTACCAATTTTATATTTTCATTCAGTCATTTGCCAAGATTTAGCCAGTTCTGTGGTTTTGGCCCACACTCGTGAATTAAACTGAGATGCTGAAAGAGGCGGACACAGGGACTGTCACTATCAATCAGAACTGGCATTAAAGGCAGATCCGTGACACAGGAGGACAATGTAATTGGTCACTGTACAGACCAATGTCCTATAATCACCTTCCCATTATGCAGCATCTACGCAGACTGTACCTCAGTACATGTAAACTGCAGAGCTCAGGGTGAACACCAAAACACAAAATTCTTTTGAAGCCTTTCACAACCTTTCTCACTTCGCATGAGGACTGAGATGAAGCAGTCAAAACAGAAATAAAAGCTTTAGAAGAAGTAGTTAGCAAATTGGATAATGAATAGGCTGAGAATGAGCAAGAAAATGATGGTGATTAATTATAGTGATAGTTGTACAGTTGGAACCACCGGAAACAAGAGACTAGTTGTGAGCAGGCTTCAGAATCACAGCTATGAAACTGCTTTAAGAAATATCCGAGTAGACACATAGCACCTAATTGCACAGAAAAACAAATTACTGCACAGAGCTCGGTAAATCTCACATTAATCAAACTGTCACTAAATATTTGAAGTATAGACTATGTCATGGCCAAAAAAAAAAGAGAACTGTCATTCAGCAATGAACAAAAGTGGTTTAAAGGGAACACAAGAAATGTGGTCATGTCCTTGGATCTAACTCTGAAATATGGAAATAAAACACAGAAGAGCAAGGGTGCCCCCCTCAGTTACCATCCTGAATTCGTCCTTCTCTGAGACGGCAAACCACGCAGTGGCATTTATCCTCCGCCATCAGCCTTAAGGCCTCATTGTTCAAATGAAAGTAATAGCTCACGTTAACACAGCCCCCCTATCAATGCAGTAAAAATCTACAGAGGTTCTCAGAGGCAAAAATAGGCACAATGCAAAAAGCTTCAATGATTGCAGATATGAGAGAGAAAGAAGGGGCTGCATATTGTTCTCACAGACCAGATATCATTCTCACAATACGGCACATGTGAATTACACACTGTCCAGAGCAGTTCTGACAGATCAGGTTCTATTTGCACAGTATGCTTACTGAGACTCACTGAACAGGAGCTCACACACTGTCAACGTCTGACTGTCAAAGAACTGCAAGTGTTGTGTACCGAACACTCACTGCTATCTGCAGTATAGTGCTGTGCACACAATCACACTGTCTTTTCCTGGGGGCAAAGCAGTTTGTGTTTAACAGTGTTAAGATGCCATCACTTTACGGCACTAATTACTCATCTGTGATCTTGAGTGACTCTGGTGGAAAAAGGGAAGAGGCTGGCTGGTTTACTCCAGCAACCTCTCCCTTCTATCCTTTGGCAATCAGATTACCCAAGGTATTTGTTTCAACTCTCTAAGGCTGTTCTTTACACTTGATACGTTAAGCAATACTTTGTTTCAATGAAACTACTACACAACAATGGGGAAACCTGGCAGGAAGACAGGGCCAAGATAAATGACACACAGTCAGTGACAGAAACAGATGGATACTTTGTCCTTGCCAACAGCGAACACACACCCAGGGCTTGCAAGGCATTCAACACGGCTGCAAGGTAAAAAGTCTATGATTTAGACTGTAGCTTCAAAGGACAGGACAGGAGTGGAGCTACTTTTAAGAATCCAGATGATCCAGTGCAAAAGAACAGAACTGATATGCTCAGAGTAACTTCCAAACCAAACTTCCAAATCAACTCTGTCATCCAAATCCAGCTGTTAGTTTTTCCAGTTATCATATTGCAAGACAGGCAAAGGGCAGAAATAAAACCATCAGAGACACTATACCTGCAGCTAGAAGCGGTTCACAAATAAGGCTTATTGGAAAATAACAGACAACCACTTCTAGTAGAGCAGTGAGGGGGCGCCACACTGTCGGACAAGGTCAGAAATCACATGACACCAGCTTAAAGTCTAACAGATTTACTTGAAAACACAAGCTTTCGGAGCCTTGTTCCTTCTGGACAGAGGCTTCGAAAGCTTGTGTTTTCACATAAAGCTGTTGGACTCCAACCTGGTGTTGTATGATTTCTGACCTTATCCACCACAGTCCAACACCAGCACCTCCACGTAATGACTGTTGGAGGGTCAGAGCTGAGGGAGCGCTGCACCGCCCGAGGGTCGGCAGTGAGGGAGCGCCGCACCGCGCGAGGGTCGGCGCTGAGGGAGCGCCGCACTGCCGGAGGGTCAGAGCTGACAGTACCGCACCTCCCAAGGTGCATCATAAAACAAAATTAGGCACAAGGGCCCAGAGTATAGAGATAACAAGGTGTGGAGTTGGATGAACACAGCAGGCCAGGCAGCATCAGAGGAGCAGGAAGGCTGACATTTCGGGTCTGGACCCTTCTTCAGGAAAAAAAAAGGGTGTGATGCTGATCAGATGGACTAAATCTCGGAAAGAAAGGCAGATATAATGGAGTGCAATGTAGAGCAGGGAAGGTTTACACAGGTAACTCCAGAGCTTTGCACCTTAGCAACTAATGGCACAGCTAGTGGAGGAGTGAATCCGTCCAATCAGAAACCATGGAAAGTTACTTGGAGTCTGAAATATGTTACCAGTGCCCTATTACCATAGGGCTACTCTCTCATGAGAGAGATGGACTGGTGGTGGTTTAACCTAATGGTTACCATACCTCAGGGCAAGGGGAAAGGTTGAGATGGAGAATCATTCATGGTAACCTCAGATGGTGCAGGAATTGAACCCATGCTGCTGGTTTCACTCTGCATTGCAAATGGCCACCCAGTCAACTGGGTTAAAGAACAACTCTCATGGAGTACGGAATAAACCTCAGATGTAGAATTTTCCCACATGACAATCATGGTTTCTGCTTTAGCATTTCAGTATTTGGTGTTAGAATTGTAGGACTTATTGCATAAGGAGGTCATTCAGCTCATTGATTCTGTGCAAGGCACTGATCTGCAACAGCAGCAACATGTTAGAATCCCATTTCTCCAGATGGTCCCCATAATCAGCTGGTTCAAAACCATGTGCACAAAGAAGAAAATGAATGAGCTAGGACTGGAGACAGAATGGATTATTGACTAGCTTTTGACCCACTATAGGTGGGTAGTATGTATCTGACATAGATAAGGTGAACAGCAAAGGTCTTTTCCTCGGTTAGAGGATTTCAAAACCAAAGGCATGGGATTAATGAGAGAGGAGAAAGATTTAAAAGGCACATGAGACACAACATTTTCACAGAGGTTGTGTACTTGGAATGAACTACCAGAGGAAGTGGTAGAGCCAGGCACAGTTACAACATTTAAAAGACATTTGGACAGGCACATGGATAGGAAAGGTTTAGAGGGATATGGACCAAATACAGGCAAATAGGACTAGTTTAGTTTGGAAAACCAGTCAATATGCACACGTTGGACCAAAGGGTCTGTTTCCAAGCTGTCTGACTCCGTGGTGGGTGCAGGATAGGGTCTATCTCACCTGCAATGGGCATGCCTGACCAATACTTGCTTGCCGGGGTGGGGGGTGGGGGGTGGGGTTGGTGGGGGGTGGGAGAGAGAATGCTATGACATACAAACCTTGGCATATCATGTCCATTTATGTGCAGTTTTCTGAAGTGCTCCTCATACTGCGGTAATTCAACGTAGTTGATGAGCCACTCAATCACCTCCTCTCCTGTCCAGTTAAATACTGCATGAAGAAAACAGGAAGATAAGATGAGCTCCTGGCAGGTTTTACTGAGAGGAGCCATACAGACAATGCAACATGAAACAGAGCAATCATCCACCTACAAGATGATCAGAGGATTAGATAGGGTGGAGAGTGGGAGCCTTTTTCCTCGGATGGTGATGGCTAGCACGAGGGGACATAGCTTTAAATTGAGGGGTGATAGATATAGGACAGATGTCAGAGGTAGGTTCTTTACTCGGAGAGTAGTAAGGGCGTGGAATGCCCTGCCTGCAAAAATAGTAGACTCGCCCACTTTAAGGGCATTTAAATGGTCATTGGATAAACATATGGATGATAATGGAATAGTTTAGGTTAGATGGGCTTCAGATTGGTTTCACAGGTCGGCGCAACATCGAGGGCCGAAGGGCCTGTACTGTGCTGTAATGTTCTATGTTCTATGTTCTAACCCAACTCCCAGTACCATTTGAGCTAGAAGGCTGTACACAGACCACTGCTGACTGTCAGGAAAGCCAATCTGGTTCACTAATGTCCTTTAGGGATGGAAACTGCCATCCTTACCTGGTCTGGCCTACATGTGACTCCAGACCCACAGCAATGTGGTTGATACTTAACTGTCTTCTGGGCAATTCAGGAGGTTGTGGGGGGGCAACAAATATTTATTCTATACATATCTCTATCCCCGCAGTGGGCAGTGTGATACTGTGGTGATTCAGTATATACAGACGCCAGGAAGTGCAACGTGATAACGTAGGGATTCAGTATATCTCTTGGTGCGAAATGTTAACGTTTGTGGAGGAATGGTCAATGCAGTGATGCTAAGGATGCTCTGCACGCTTCTGCCCCCACACCTGAGATGCTGCCAAATCCATAACAGGATACTGGCACATCAAATTGCTGATTGTTGACCACAGCACTGCAGTCAGAGCTCTCAAGCAATGGGTTCAGTGTCTGTATTTACCTTCTGAGCTTTTCCATGATTTCCACAGGTCCTCCACGCTGATCAGCTTGTCCCCTCCATGGAACGTGCTGTGCTTTGCTGCTGCATCTTGGTAGTTCAGATCTTCTCGCAAAAACTACCAGATTAAAAAAAACAAATGGTGGCATTAATAACGAACAAGGCAGCAGGCAGTTACTTGCCCAAGATATGTGCGTCAGTGTATGGTCTTGCAACAGCATACACCACTGCCAGACCTCACTGTGAAAGCTAATCAGCTCAATGCTGAAACTAACCATGCTGTCCTACTAAATTATCAACAAGAACAATGGGCTCCAACCAAAAGCCAATAAAGCCATCCTCATCAACTGCTTTGGAATTAGCTGGATGGATATATAGTCAAAACTGAAAGTGAGATTTCAGAATCTTTCTCACTACTCATCTCCAATAACTTCCTCCACAGCACACTGACACTGAAGGATCTGGTTATACTTCACAACAATGACAGAAGCAAGCAGCATCACAATGGACTTCCAAGCCATTCAGAGTCAGTCGTACCTCAGCATGCAATACAGACTAAGGAATAGCACAGATCTGCCAGATTTTCCAATCGTTATCCATCCAGGCAAACAACTCAGAAACTGACTTGTTGATATAACCCTGTGGCAGGACAAATGTATTTGAAGTTTAATTTCATGCTTCAGTCGAATAGGATTTATAACAGCAGGTTATTTTTCAAGAACAACACCAATAAACTCACCTCAGAGACAAAGACAGATGCAAGTCATTCCTAATCATGATGCTGTTGAGAATACCTTTCTTTTAAAAATGGTATTTCCGATTTTTTTTAAACCCTGAGAAGCTGAACTCTGGTCACTTTCCAAAGACTGAACTCAGCTTGAATTCAATCAAAAGCTGAAAATCTTCCATCAATCTACTACAGTCAGCAATTCGACTTTGTCAACCAAATATCTACTGTGAGAAGTCATCAAATTCTATCCATTTGTTTTCTGACCTTTGGCCAGAGGTGCCCTTCATTTTTTGGAAGTTTGGTTTTTTTTGTGCTTTATGTGAGTGCAAGGATTGGGGGATATTGCTCTAATTTTGGATATTAAACAGTGTTTGCCATTTTTTTAAAGAATAAGTTTATGTTATTATAAAAAATTTACAGTTCATTAAAGAAGTTTTGTGAAAGTCTCGTTTATACTGCATAGCATATCAAATGCCATTTTGGTGACTAAAACCAAACATTTATACTGCTGGTGTGTCTCGGGAATACAGGGGCTCAATTACCAAAACATTCCTCCTGTCACAGCTGTAATTGAAGCCAATTCTTCGGAAATTGATCTAAATTAAGTGAAGTGAAGGACCATGCGAGTCAGGGACCTTTACAATAAATCAGGGTTTCAAATGATCATATGGAGCATAAGTAGGCCATTCAGCCCCTTAAGTCTGCTCCAACATTCAATTACACCATGGCTGGTCTGATTACTCCTCACTGAAGTAGCACGCTGAAAATCAATCCCTGTTATTCCCAGAGGCATCACAAAAGTTAAAGATTTTAGAAAGTACACAGAATTCCTCAATTTCCCCATCCTTTAGACCCAGGTTGACAGAAAGCAGGATTCCGTTTACAAATAAATAGATTTGATAAATAGATTCAAGCTACAGATAAACAATTATGAATTATCGACAGCTAACTGTACTAGTTAAAACTCTAAACCCCTGTACAACACAAACATACATACACACACACACACGCATAATAGGCAGAGGAAACAGTCCCTGTGCACAGAGTTTGCAGAGATGATTCTTCCACTGATCAGAGCACTGCTTCCTAATCTTTCTTCTCCAGATACTTCTAATTGTTTGTAGGAGGTATAGGGTGACTGGTTCATACTTAACAATGAAAGGTCAGTGTACAGCAACCAGAAATGGGTCGTCTTCAGATTTCACATACTTTCTTTGCTGCAGAGCTAAAACAGCTCCTTCCTTCCCAGAGATCCAATGGTTTTAGCTTCCTGAGAACGAACCACATAGATGTTGGCAGGAGGAGATATTTGTCATCAATAATTGGTCACTTATCCGTGGATCAATCAGATACTTTTTGCCAGCCAAAGCTCCATTTGTAAACAAGCTTTAGCTCCAGCTCGATAGTAAGCCGGGCTTCCATTATTGATTCAATAAGGAGCTGTGTAAACACTACTTACAATGAGTGTCAAGTTACCTGCTTTTAAAATCTGCAGCAATCCTTTAACCATCCTTGATTTTTAAGACATTGCTTTTCCCATTTCAAACCTCACTCATAAACACAGTGCAAGTATAATTTGGAAATTGTGAGGTCATCCACTTCGGTAGCAAAAACAGAAAGGCAGATTATTATTTGAATGGCAATAAAGAGGAAACGAGGAAGCTGCAAAGAGACCCGGGTGTCCTGGTATACCAATCGCTGAAGGTAAGCATACAGATGTAGGTGAAGGAGGTAAATGGTATGTTGGCCTGCATAACAAGAAGATTTGAGTATAGGAGCAGAGAGACCTTGCTGCAATTACACAGGACCTTGGTAAGACCACACCTGGAATACTGTGTACAAGTTTTGGTCTTCTTATCTGAAAAAGGATGTTCTGGTGATGGAGGAAGTGCAACAAAGGTTTACCAGGTTGATTCCTGGGATAGCAGAACTGCCATATGAAGGTAGACTCGATTACTTGGAAATATATGCACTGGAGTTTGGAAGAATAAAGGGAGTTCTCAGAAACCTATAAAATTCTAACAAGACTAAAATTCTAACATCGTAAATACAGGAAGGATGTCCTGATGACCAGGGAGTCCAAAACAAGGAATCACAGTCAAAGGATATCGGGTAGGCCATTTAGGACTGAGGAGAAAGGAGATGAATGGTGAGTCTGTGGAATTCTCTGCCACAGAAAACATGCGAGGCCAAAACATTAAACATCTTCAAGAAGGAGTTAGATATAGTCCTTGAGCTAAAGGGATCAAAGAGAGTGGTGGTGAAGGGTTGTTTTTCGGACTGGAGGCCTGTGACTGGCGGTGTTTCACAGGGATCGGTGCTGGGTCCACTGTTGCTTGTCATTCATATAAACAATTTGGATGAGAATTTAGGAGGCATGGTTAGTAAGTTTGCAGACAACATCGAAATTGGTGGTGAAGTGGACAGTGAAGAAGGTTATCTAAGATGACAAAGGGATCTCAATCAATTGGGCCAAAAGGCTGAGGAGCGGCAGGTGGAGTTTAATTTGGATAAATGTGAGGTATTACATTTTTGGTAAAACAAACAAGGGCAGGATTTAACAATTAATGGTAGGGCCCTGGGCAGTGATGTAGAACAGACAGACCTAGGGATTCAGGTACATAATTCTTTGAAAGTTGCATCGCAGGTAGACAGGATGGTTAAGAAGGTATTTAGCACGCTTTCCTTCATTGTTCAGACCATTGTGTAGAGGAGTTAGGACGTCACATTGAGGTTGTACAGGATATTGATGAAGCCACTTTTGCTGTACTGTGCGCAGTGCTACAGGAAGGATATTATTAACTTGGAGAGGGCTCAGAAAAGATTTACCAAGATGTTGTTAGGACTGGAGTGTTTGAGTTGTAAGGATAGGCTGGGACTTTTATTCACTGGAGCTTAGGAGGTCGAGGGGTGACCTTAGAGATTTATAAAATCATGAAGGGTATAGGCAAGGTGAATAGCAAAGGTCCTTTCCCTAGGCTGGGGGAATTCAAAACTAGGGGGCAAATTTTTAAAGTGAGAGGAGAAAGATTTAAAAGGGACCTGAGGGGCAACTTTTCCACACAGACAGTGGTTCGCTTGTGGAATGAACTGCCAGAGAATGTAATAGACACAGATACAATTACAACATTTACAGATATGGGCCAAACACAGGCAACTGCAGTTAGTTTAGTTTGGGAAACTTGGTCAGCATGGACCGGTTGGACCAAAGGGTCTGTATGACTCTATAAGAAAGCATGGTACTGAGCTGAATGATCATACTGAACAGTGGAACAGGCTGGGAGGGCTGAATGGTGTACTCTTGCTCCTATCTTCTATATTTCTGTATTTCTATGTTAATAGAAAAATAAAAAAGAAATGGATTTTGCATTATTTCTGTCTGTTCCCTGAACGTTTCAACCCCTTGACTATTGAGAATCTAGTATTTATAGGTTCCGCTTCCACCATTTTTTCAGGAAGAGAGTTCCAAAGACTCAGGACCTCAGAGAAAGGAAATCTCATCTCCACATGAACTGAGTGACCCCTTGTTTTTAAGGTAACCCCTAGTTCAAGATTCTCCCATAAGAGGAAACATCCTCTCCACACCCACCCTGTCAAAACCCCTCAGGATCGTGTGTGTTTCACTCTTCTAAACTCCACTGGATACAAACCTTGCCTGTCTACCCTTTTCTCATAAGATAACTATTCCCCCATGCAGGCACCAGTATAGCAACAATTCGCTGAACTGCTTCCAACACACTGACATTCTTCCTTCAATCAGATGATCAATACTATGTACTGCAGATGTTTTCTTATCAATGTCCTGTTTAACTGAATCATCACCTCACTACTTTTGTATATAATCGTTCTCCTTCCCATTGCAGTTTCTCTCCAGCCAAGTAGATATCCCAGACCCTAGCACTAAGCAGGCTGTCTGGACTCTTACTCTTTGATATAGAGGACAGTGTGTATCGCCATCACACGGTCCGACTCTCCCACCACCTTCCTTTTTGGCTCCTTTCCCTTTTATGGCATTCTGTACCCTGGTGCCATGAGAGTGAGCTCACCCACCCAGCAGTCCTTACTTGCCTCAAGGCAAAGTGAAAGAACCTCACACCTGTTGGAAAACTGAGTGACAACTTGGAAGATTTCCAAAGGCTGAAGGACTTGGGAAAGACAATCAGACAATCACTTCACCCATGAGGATGCAGCACAAGGAATGAGGGGTGCCAATTTGTGTCTTTGGAACTCTGTGTCACAGACAGTGGTGGGGCAGAGTCCTTACGTATATTAGAGGCTTAAATAGATGCTTCATCAGTCAGGAAATCAAAGGTTACAGGGCAGGAAAATGGACGTGCGGAATGTAGGAGTAGCCGAGATCCTATTAAATGGCAGAGCAGGCTTAAGAG